GTTTTAGTTCAAGCCAGGGTCTGCTTCCAGCAATCAACCATTAAAACAAGCCGGCCAGAGTAACAGCACAGTTTATTCTGATCATTTAATTTGAAGTGTCAATAAATTAAACTTCAATCAATTAAACTAGGTGTGCAATAACCCAGATGGACACCCCGACACCAACATAATCACAATAAAAATTTTTATGGCTGCCAGGGACCTCACCGGGGGCAGTGCTGGCACTGCTCGCGCCCTGGCTGAGAAATATATCTCCACAGTGCAGGAGCGAGGAGATTGTTTCTCCTAACGAAATGGAGGGGCCAGGCACCAGCAAGGACACAGCTGGGAGAGGGGCACAGGGGACTGCCAGGAAGGAGATGGGAGTGCTTTGGGGGCTTAATGTAATTGATACCTTTGCCCAGAGCAGGAGGAGGGGACATTTAGGCCAAGTACCTCTACGGTTAGTGCCAAAGGAATTTAACAAAAGCCCCATTAAGATGATTCAGGGAGCGAAGGCCACAGAGCAATATCAACCTTTAAGACTCACTGATGTATTCTGCATAGTTTCCTCCTCCATATATGCATACTCTTGTGCACTTTGGATGCCCTGATGCTTGAATGAGGTTTACAACTCGGGATTTGGTAATTTTCTTTTTGGATAAAAATGTTATTAAGGGGAGAGAGAAAAATACAAACAAGAAGTCTGGTCCATAAAGCACTGGGAAAGCACTCTGAAAGTGAATCCAAAGAGGATTGAGAAATGAAATATATGAAGATCTAAGGATCTAGTCTGCTGGAATAATTCAGTTTTGAGAAAAAAGGTAAACCAAAGGAGGAAGGGGATAAGCCTTTATCTTGAAGATTCCATAGGTTATTAGACGAGATCGGGCGCGTTCAGGGTGGTATGGCCGTAGACAAGATTCCATAGGTTATTAAAAGAGAATGGTGACCTGAAGGGATGCCTTTTCATTAACAAGGGATAACCAGGAGAAAACAGCAGGAGAGAGAAAGCTAAGTCCACAGATGCAGGCTGGGAGCACCATTATTAACTACCGGAAAGAGGAGATGAAATGTTTCCTTAGAGATTACAAGAACACCTAAGAAAATTAGATGAACGTGCTTGAGAGCTAGGGCTGGACTATTTAATTAAAGAAAGAAATGTACCCTGGCCAGTTTGGCTCAGTGGATAGAGCGTCAGGCCTGCAGACTGAGGGGTCCCAGGTTCAATTCCGGGCAAGGGCATGTGCTTTGGTTGCAGGGTCCTCCACAGCCCGGGCCAGGGTCAGGGCTCATGAAGGAGGCAACCAATCCATGTGTTTCTCCCACATCAACGTCTCTCTCTCTCCCTCTCTCTTCCACTCTCTCAAAAAGATCAATGGAAAAATATCCTCTTGGGAGGATTAACAAACAAAAAAATAAAAACAACAAAAAGAAATGTGACTCATTGTAAAATCCTTAAATGCAGAGAACCTAGTGATATTTAGATATACTCATAATCAGGTCAAATTTCAATTGATGGTTCTTCTTGACCTCCTCTAGCTTCTTGATCTCTTCTCAATATTCTACAGCTATGTGGTTGCAGAGGTGAGGATAGAATATGCTTTGATCAGATTTCTGAAGAGGTTCAGCCAAACCAGGTAATAAAAATGTGAATCACATGGCTCAGTGATTGAGCACTGACCTATGGACCAGGAGAGGAGTTGTGTTTGATTCCTGGTTGGGGCACATGCCTGGGTTGTGGGCTCGATCTCCAGTAAGGGGCATGCAGGAAACAGCCTAATGAACCTTCTCTCTCACATCCATGTTTCTCTCTCTAAAAATCAATAAAAATTTGTGATTTTTAAGTGAAAGGAGAAAACGTAAAGGAACTTTAGAAGCTGTCTCCCTTTCTAGGGAGTGGCTGGTTAAATACTATGTAGTTACAGTAAACTCTTTCGTTCAGAAGAAAGCTAAGTTCAGATCCAAGGATTCTTCATATTTTTCATAATGATGATGGTGAACTAAGAATCAGGAGATACTACTGAATAGACAGAAGAGGGGAGGAGAATAAAAGGAGCAATGAGGAAGGATGATTCTGAACCAGAGGGAGCTAAATTTTGTGGGCCAGTGTGTGAGGGTAGAGAGAAGAGAATGAAAAACTTAGGAAGCCGGGACCGGTCTGGCTCAGTGGATAGAGCGTCAGCCTGCGGACTGAAAGGTCCCGGGTTCGATTCCGGGCGAGGGCATGTACCTTGGTTGTGGGCACATCCCCAGTAGGGGGTGTGCAAGAGGCGGCTGATCGATGATTCTCTCTCATCGATGTTTCTAACTCTCTATCCCTCTCTCTTCCTCTGTGAAAAATCAATAATATATATACAAAAAAACTTTAAAAAAAGAAAAACTTAGGAAATATCACCTAAATCCCAACAAGGGCTCCTCATCTGAACCACTGAATGCTGACAATTATTTCCACAACTATTTTCTCACTTCTCTGAAGCATGTTACAGAACTAGTACCATTGTGATAAAGAAAAGTTGATTCATTACATACAATGTCTCAGGTCATTAGGGCTTAATTTTCTCCTGGAACTCCTATTGTGAAGAGTTAGAATGGTGAGAGGGTATATAAATTCTTCATTGGCAGCCCAAAATATATTGAAATTATAAAGAGGGGAAATAAAAAAAAAAAAAAGGTTGTAAAGAGCTGACACAGATAAAGGAAAATACTAGTTTAATATTCTAAGAACTCTGGAGATCAACACAAGAATTGATACCAGTTGGTACTTTATATAACTGATGGTCAAAGTACAATTTTATATATTGAAGAGGTGGAAGCTGATGATAAGGTGATGTTAGAGAATTAGTCAGAGATTGGGAATCAAAATCTAATCTAGTTTTGACCAGGTACTTATTTGAGCAAGCCCTTTTCCCTATAAGCTAGTTTCTCCTAACTCCACTACATAGGTTCATCATGACAAAGAATCAGTATAGGTTTTGTTTTTATATTTTTATTGATTTCAGAGAGGAAGGGAGAGGGAGAGATAGAAACATCAATGATGAAACTCACTGATTGGCTGCCTCTTGCATGCCCCCTACTGGGAATGCAGTGACAACCCAGGCATGTGATGTGCCCTGACTGGGAATCAAACTGTGGCCTCCTGGTTCATAGGTTGACACTCCACCACTAAGCCACACCAGCTGGGCAAAATCAGTGCTGTTTCTAAAGCAAAGTTCAGGGGTGGAGTACGTGACCAGGTTATCAGGGATCTGTGAATGTGGCATCTTAGGTACAGATTAAAAGGAATAAAAGAAGCAGGTTGAAATATACTTCACTACGGAAGCAGAGACAGAGAACTGAGGTAAGAGAAAATGTAAGAGATTTTACATATAACCATTACACACAGCTCCCCAAGTATCATCTCTCTCACTCATTTACCTGTAAACAGGCTCCCTTCTAAACATATGTAGGAAAGTCTAAAAATTTCTAAGAACTTCCAAAAAAACCAATTCCCTAGAACTTACCCTACATCTGTTAACTGATTAACAGTGATTAACTGCTCGGGACAGAAAATATCTCATTAAAAACTACTCAAGTTAAAAAAAAAAAACTACTCAAATTTTAAGCTTTTTACCTAGACTTGACCAATTATCTCTATCTTTGATACTTTGAAAAAGGTAACTGAAACTGTTGTTCTCTTTTACCTGGTGAGATCTGAATGTGTACATGTATCAGAGATGAAGGAAAGAAAAAGATAAGAAAAAGGTCTAGAGTTCAACTCAACAAAGCAAGGAGCTGGGAGCTAAATTCCCATACACACCTCCAAACTGCGGAACAGATGGGGTATTTTTTATTTTATTTTTTTACAGAGGGGAAGAGAGAGAGATAGTGTTAAAAACATCAAAGAGCCGAGACCGGTTTGGCTCAATGGATAGAGCGTCGGCTTGGGGACTGAAGGGTCCCGGGTTCGATTCCGGTCAAGGGCATGTACCTTGGTTGCGGGCATATCCCCAGTAGGGGGTGTACAAGAGGCAGCTGATCGATGACTCTCTCTCATTGATGTTTCTAACTCTATCTCTCTCCCTTCCTCTCTGTACAAAATCAATAAAATATATTAAAAAAAAAAATCAATGGGAGAGAAACATCAATCAGCTACCTCCTGCACATTCCCTACTGGGGATGTGCCCGCAACCAAGGTACATGCCCCTGACCGGAATCGAACCTGGGACATTTCAGTCTGCAGGCGGACGCTCTATCCACTGAGCCAAACCGGGTAGGGCAAGATGGGGCACTTTTGAGAGAAATTCTCTGGTCCAATTTTAAAAGAGGAAATAGTGCTTTATTTGTTAGAACAAGTATAAAAGACCATATGGACATACACCCCTTTAACCACCAAAATTCTCCTATAGCCTAAGAAAGAATTAGCATCCCAGATCCTACAGGAATAATTCCTAAAGTTTATATGGGTAGGAAAAAGAAGAGCAGAATAAGGAGACAGGAAAAATGTTCCTAACTCTACCAGGAATTCCAGAACTTGGATGGAAGACTGATCCTTTATCATAACAAATCTATATAAAGTGGATTAACAGGAAACCGAAGTAAAAAGAAAACAGTTTTCTGAAGGAATGTGAAAGGCAATTGTCAAATTGTGACAACTCGCAGAAGAAACCTGCACTCTATTCTAACAATTTGGGGCGAGTTAGGAGATTTGGGGAAACTCCAATCAGGAGTTCATCCACAAGACTCAGAATCGGGGACACCTGAAAGATCCCAATTCAGTTCGCTCGTGAGCCTTGGCGTCCTAAGGACTCCCTGTGCTCCCTTCAACTTTCCACCAACTCCACCTTCCCCCCCGGCAGAGCTTCCTACTTTAAACCGAGGCTTTCGCTCCTGCTCTAGGCCACACGCTCTTCAGGGCCTGGCCGAACCTTCGGCCCCCGAGGGTTACCCGGAGCTCCCCTTTCTAACCCTTCCCAATCAGCCTGAACCCCGACTCCCGGCCCCTCTGGACACCGCAGCATCTCCGCTGCCCCGGCTCCTACCAAGATCAGCGCCTCCATCTTGCCCCGCAGCTGGTGCCGACGTGGAGCCGCAAAAAACAACGCCGCCGCTGATTGGCCCGACGCCCTCATTAGACCCCGCCTACCATGAGGGTTATTGGCCTGCCAGGTGCCAGTGATTGCTGTATGGACCAATAAATGCACTAGTTTGCTTAGCGAAAGCAAGGTGTCCAGCCGTAAGACGCAGGTATTTGATTGTCAGCTGAAACACCCAATAAGATGCCAAAACCTCATAACGGAATGAGGCGGGCGGTCCATGGGGCGGGGCTGTTTCCATGGGGAACAGAGGAAGCGAATAGTAATTTTCAATTGGCAGGGCGAAGAGCACGTGAGATCGTCCCCCGATTTAGCAGCTTTAATACGCACTTCCTTTAGGGGGCGCTATGTCTCCTTAGCCCTCAAAACTGGCAGCTCCCATCAGAATCCTACCTTAATCCCTATTCCAAGAGCTCTCTTAAGTCCCTGATATCCACGGTTGCTTTGGAGAACACTGCTGCTCTTCCCTCACATTCGTTCAGCTCACTTAAGCATCCTCACAGAAAGGCTACACAAAGCCAAGTGTTGCTCAAAGTTAACTACATACACCAAATCTCCAGAAAGTTGATTGCTACAGTAATAATCTTCCCAACGTGGAGTGCCAGGCTGTGTTAGACCCAGGAAAGAACCCAGAGAGTTTGTAAAAAGCAAATTTTATTTTATTAGGCTCTGGAGAAGCAGAGAGGAGAATGTAGGAGGGACAGAGGGGTAAAAGGTCCGCGATAAAGAAGGCTGTAGGGAGTAGGGTCTGCGGTTCTCCATTGGGGACAAGCCGTTGCAAAATGAGAAAAGAGAAGTTTACTGAATGCAGAGATTTCACAATAGGGAAAGGTTTTAAGATCAACCAAAGAACTTATATGCATATATGCATAGCCCATGGACACAGACAATAGTGTGGTGAAGGATGGGGGAGGACAGGAGTGGGAAGGAGGGAGGTCAATGGGGTAAAAAGAGGGACATCTGTAATACTTTACACAACAAAGATACATTTTTTAAAAAGTTTAACTTTTGCCGAAACCGGTTTGGCTCAGTGGATAGATTGTTGGCCTACGGACTAAAGATCCCAGGTTCGATTTTGGTCAAGGGCATGTACCTTGGTTGTGGGCACATCCCCTATGTGGGGTGTGCAGGAGGCAGTCGATGAATGATGTTTCTCTTTCATTGGTGTTGTTATCTCTCTATCACTCTCCCTCCCTCTTTCTCTTAAAGTCAATTTAAAACAAAGTAAATAAAAACTTATTTTTAAAAAATGTTTAACTTTCCCCTACCCCTCTGTTCCTTGGTCCCTGACACACACTCACTTCCCCCCATCCTCCTATATGCCCAGGGCTATCTGCCATCTCTGATATTATATCTTTAGGAGTTCCCCTAAGAAGGGCATCCAAACTACCCAGGAGTTTTTATAAAAATTTCAGAGAGGAGTCAGAGGGCCTAAGAGTGAAGTATAGAACAATACAAAACAAATTACAGAAGTAGCATTTGCTATGAAGGAGTGTATGGGGTGTTCCGGTAAAATTCCAGGTGACGAGCCTTATGTCTGGAAGAAGCAAGGGCTTAGCCTTTATCTATTCCCATCGGGGAGTTGTTCAGACGTTAAGCATTGTGCCTGGCATCACAAGGTTATCCTTGGCTTGGCAGCCTAATGATAATACTAACATTTATTGACCACGTATTATGTGTCCTGCACATGAAAATCTTAATACATTATTTAATACTGTTTAAAACCCTTACTAAGTACATGAGAATGGTGGAGCTGGGAGCAGTTAAATAATTTAATTAAGGCCATACAAGTATTAATTGGCAGCCATACATACATTTGAGCACAAGGAGTCTGGTTCTTAAACCATGTTCTTACCCACAATTCATTTCTCTGATTGTGGTATAGGTTGTTCTGGTCCTATCTTAAATGCACTACACCAATTCCAGATGACCTACAGAGACCGTGAAGAGGAAAAGTGTGTGATGTAGGTTCGTTGGTGAGGAGATTGGCTTCTCTTTCTTTGATTGTGAAATAAGTTGACAAATTTTTTTCTTTTCTTTTAACTTGACAAATTTCAATAGTCAGACATTGTTTTAGTAGATGGCTGATTCTTAGCTCTAGAGCCTATTGGGTAACCGTGTAGTAGGGGGAAGACCACTAACTGGATGGGAGACATTAATTCTTGCCATGACTTTGCCTTAATAAGTGGGAGAATTCTGGCAAGTCCTTGTACACTCTCTGGATTACAGCTGCCACTTCTGGAAAATGGGGACCTAGCATTTAAGTTCTATGATCATTCTTGCCGAAACCGGTTTGGCTCAGTGGATAGAGTGTCGGCCTGTGGACTGAAGGGTCCCAGGTTTGATTCCGGTCAAGGGCATGTACCTTGGTTGTGGGCACATCCCCAGAAGGAGGTGTGCAAGAGGCAGCTGATTAATGATTCTTTCTCATCAATGTTTCTAACTCTCTATCCCTTTCTTTTTCTCTCTGTAAAAAATCAATAAAATATATATTTTTTAAAAAGTTCTATGATCATTCTTGTTCCTTTTGCTCCCATCCCCTCTCCAAATGGAAAATCTTTAAGAACCAATCAAATGGGATATATATATATATATATATATATATATATGTAATATACATATATTGTATACACACAGTTGACCCTGAAATAGTGCAACAGACTGGGTTTGAACTTCACAGTTCCATTTTTGTGTGTGTGTTTTACAATAAATATTGGAAATATATTTGATTTTCTTAATAACATTTTCTTTTCTCTAGCTTATTTATTATAAGATTATATATATAATACATAGAAAACAAAATAGGTTAATAAACTGTTTGTGTTATTGGTAAGGCTTCTGGTCAACATTAAGTTTGGGGGAGTCAAGAATTATACCTGGATTTCTGACTGCACCAGGTGTCAGCACCTCTAATCACTGCATTGTTCAAGGGTCAAACTGTAAATGTATATATTAAAAAGATGAATATATGATTACAAACAATTTACTGAAAATGTCTGGGTGTGCTGAAACCAGTTTGGCTCAGTGGATAGTGTTGGCCTGCGGACTGAAAGGTCCCGGGTTCTATTCCGGTCAAGGGCATGTACTTTGGTTGCAGGCACATCCCCAGTAAGGGGTGAGCAAGAGGCAGCTGATTGATGATTCTCTCTCATTGATATTTCTAACTCTCTATCCCTCTCTCTTCCTCTGTAAAAAAATCAATAAAATATATATATTTTTAAAAATGTCTGGGAATGTCCTACCTGGTTTGGTCAGTGGATAGAGCATCAGTCTGCGAACGGAAAGGTCCCAGGTTCAATTCCAGTCAAAGGCACAGACCTGGGTTGTGGGTTTGATCCCCAGTGAGGGGCTTGCAGAAGGCAGCCAATCAATGATTCTCTTTCATCATTGATGTTTCTATCTATCCCCCCCTTTTCCTTTCCTTTTGAAATCAATAAAAATAAAAAATATAAAATATATAAATAAAATAAAATGTTTGGATGCTATTTTAAAAGGAGAAAAATCAGCTTTTTAAAAAAAGACAAAATTGGCATCTTTGCTGGTGGAAATGGACATTTCTCCTTGCTGCAATCATTGACTCAGATCATAGTCATGTTTTAACACATCACTCTAACTCACCAGACCTGCCATCTGAGACATGCTTTATCAGTCTGTAGACAGAGGCAGTCTCTGGAGGCTTTGAGTCTTTGCCTGATTTAATCAATCAGAAAGTCTTTGACACTGTCCTACACTAGATTTGAGAGGCATAGAGGATCTACCTAAAACATAGTCACAAACCCAAACAGACATCTCAAATGAGGAACAAAGAAATAACCCCCAAATGAAAGAACAAGAGAATTCGCCGAAACCGGTTTGGCTCAATGGATAGAGCGTCGGCCTGGGGACTGAAAGGTCCCAGGCTCGATACCGGTCAAGGGCATGTACCTTGGTTGCGGGCATATCTCCAGTAGGGGGTGTGCAAAAGGCAGCTGATCGATGACTCTCTCTCATCGATGTTTCTAACTCTCTCTCTCCCTCTCTGTACAAAATCAATAAAATTATTTAAAAAAAAAAAAAAAAAAAAAAAAGAACAAGCCAGGCCCGGAGCAGTGGCTGCCAGGCTGGGAGCAGCCAGGCCCGGGGGAGCAGGCGGGTTGGGTGCGGCCAGGCTCGGAGCAGCGGCTGCCAGGCTGGGAGCGGCCAGGCCCGGGGGAGCAGGCGGGTCGGGTGCGGCCAGGCCCGGAGCAGCGGCTGCCAGGCTGGGAGCGGCCAGGCCCGGAGCAGCAGCAGCCAAGTCCAGAGCAACTAGGTCGGGAGCGGCAGTGACCAGACCCGGAGCAGCTGGTTGTGGAATGAACCAGAGCAACAGAGGCCAGGCCCTGAGCAGTCAGGCCCGGAACAGCTCACTCCTTGCCTGCCCCTGCCCCACGGCTGCTTCTCAGACATGGCTGGAAACTTTCATGGGAACTTGAGGGTCTGCTGAATCAAGTGATGAAGGCTTATATCTGGATGTGTTGAGTTAGTTTAGGGCTGGGGTGTTGATCTGTAAGTGCCTTGGGTGGGGCCTGGATGAGGCTGGTGGACCTATTGGGAAATGTCCTTTGTGTGAAATGTATCATTGGGCATGTGGAGGTATTATTGATATGAGAAAATGCTAAGTAACTGATTTACTATCTGAAAAGGGATTTACTATTGGGGAAAGGGAGGGAAGAAGAGACTGAACATAAACTGCACCTATGGATGAGGACAATGGGGGATGGGGAGGGGGCAGAGGGTGGGGTGGGAACCTGGTGGAGGGGGGAAGAAATGAGGAACCTTTGTAATAATATGAACAATAAAGATTGATTTGAGTGGTAAAAAAACAAAAAAATTAAAAATTAAAAATTAAAAAAAAGAACAAGAGAATTCTCCAGAAGAGATAAATGAAGCAGAGATCAGAAATTTATCTAAAACAGAGTTCAGCCCTAGCTGGTTTGGCTCAGTGG